ATCTAACTGAAGAGGGATGCTTCAAATATGTCTACAATTTTATTATGCTGCCCTTCAAACTGCTCCATCCTGTAACAATAATATTACCATACACTATTCCTAACCCACCCACAGGACAGAACATTAACCTGTAGCTGAGAATTCAGAATTGTGCACTCCAGCTCTTTCTGGGCTGCAGTAACACACGAAACCCTTTTGTGCTTCCCAATATAAACTATAAAATGCATAGTCGCAAAATCATGTTTCAGCATTTCGCCAGCTACACTTGCTTTAAGCTATGAGAAATGTAAGAAGTGTCAAATAAGCCCCTTCCCTCAAACCTTTTTTAAAGTGAGAACCAAGGGGGCTTCATCAGAAGAATTTTGTAACTTAAAACACTAATAATTCCCACTTCACATAAAGTGCAACATCAAATACTGTCACTTCAATGTAAATATGATCACACAACACTTTGTATTGCCTGATATGATGATGACTGATACTGGCAGAACTGTACATTATGGTTTGTTAAATCATTTCCTACCTTTAACTCAGCAGTTTTCACTGTCTAAACTTAATCAGAGCTTAAACATACAGGTCGCAGATCGGAAAACAATCATTAGTCCCAGTTCAGCGTTCTTAGCTGTTGTAGAATGTGAAGGCCAAACTGAAATGAGATGGTCTGGCCTATGGAGGATTTCCACATCACAAAGTGCTGCTCCTGTTCCCTAGCTATCTCGACAGCATGTATATTTTCTTTATAAAAACTTGAGGCCATAAGGTTTTTTAACAGTTGTAGTGTTAGCTGTTTAACTGACTTGAAATCCAATACTTACACTAAAAGTGTAATCCTCTGTCGGTGTTGTTTGCTGCCACATTATTTTTATTACTGGCACACAATGAATCTTGGGATACATTAGGGCCATTAAGGATCCCCCCATTGGAGCCTTTGTTGCCCAGGAAAATTTCTCTGCCGCATTTTAAGGAGCCCTCGAAAAGGGACAGCCTGGTCGCGCAGCTGTGATGCAGTCTGTGTTGCGGTCCCTGAATTGGCATACATCTACTGTGTTGGAAATCACTAGCTTACATTAGCTAGTTAGCTCATTTATGCTCTGATAAACAGTCTTCCTTTAGCTCTGTTGAAATAACCAATAAGGTTATAAACTGATTTCTGGCTAAACTTATTTCTAATATCGTATTATCATATTTCTCTATTTCTGCCAGTATCACATTGAAAATGATAGCTTTAGCATGCTAGCAAGCATAGCTGATACCACTGATCTACCATTAGCACCACTATACCTTGTCTGTCTCTAGGTATTTTGTACAGCTGGTACATAATAAAATATTATGTATATCCAGCAGTGTGTTAATAAAACGCATGCAGAAATGAACACACACACAGAAGCACACAGATACACACTGGATAATCAGGCCTTCTTTGATCATCCTGGTTTGACTCAGTGGTTGCTATGCCAACAAGCGAGAATAAAGCTTTGAGCTGCAGGACTATGGCTTTCATGACTGATGCAACATTTACCATAACCCCCTCTGCCACCCTCACACACACACTCTCTCTTTCTCTCACACACACACACACACACACACACAGCAGTTTCTTTTAGTTTTTCTCGAACAGTTTGGTGGATTTCGTATTTAGGTCACCTTTTTGTGGAAGGAGAAAGAAAGGAGGAAAGGAGCATCCCAATGTAATGGTTGTTGTTTATTGGTCAGAACACACACACTTACACACACACGCTCAGAGTACAATTGTGTTCGACTCAGTGTTGCTCTGCTTTCTCCACCTCTCTCTTACTCTGTCTGTTTCCCTGTCCCTCCTGTTCATTTGCCAAAGGACACATGAGGGATTGTGGGAGGCTGAGTATCTTTTCCTCCTCCGTCTTCCTCCCTCTTGTCTCCCTCCATCTCCATTCTCTTCACTTCTTCCTCCCTCCTATCTAGTATGACCTACATTTCCTCCTGATGCCTTGGCCCCTTGATGCCTCCCTGTCTTTTCTTCTTTCCCACCTCTCCACACATTAAACGACATACACACATACTAACACACAGACAGTACAGAACAGGATGGGGGTGCGGTGCAGTCACTAAGTGCAGTTAGAGCTGTTAAGGGTGGAGTTATAAAACAGAATGCCAAGCTAAGAAGCCCTGAGTGAACCCTGATTCAAAACACTGCCTGTGTGTTTGTGTGTGCATATATATATGTGTGTGTGAGAGAGAGAGAGTGAGAGAATAAGGAAGGGTAAGGACACAGTGCCTCCTATGGACAAACAGCATCCCCTCCATGTTGACATGCATAACTCCACACTGCCCCCTGTTGAGACTTGTTCAAGAGTACAACCACATACAATCACAATCAGATCACCTCTCTGCTTCCCCCTAGTGGTGAAGCAACAGCATAGGATTTCCTGTTTAGAAACACCCTGTTATACATGATGATCCTATTATTTGAACATATTTTCCATCAAAGTAGGTCATCTGCTTTAATAGGATAATGTAACATGAAGGTCTTAACTGTGATAGTGCAACAAAAAGTGAAAATATTTGGTGTGTGGTCATCAGTGTAAATGTGTGTAAATGCAAGAAAAGTTATTACATAACTGTCAGTCAGATGATAAGTTAACTTAGTAGTTTCATCAAATGAGTCCTCCACCTTTGACCTTTATAACATAAAGTCTGTTACAGATATCTACAAACTATTAGCTGCGTATTCCAGCTGCTAAACAGTCAAATTGACAAATTCAGCAGAGCATCCGAAATTTAAAAGCAGGTATACAATCTGTGGCACCGTTTAATCAAATACACATTATGGGTGAGAGACTTTAACCAGGTCAGGACAGTGAGAGAGACACAAATTTTAAAGATGCAGAAGGTTGAACAGCCTTCAACCACATAAAGCCTTCCGCTTGCAGGATGACCACACAGTTGCAGCTCCAAAAATCAATCAATCAACACCATCAACGAATATTCAAATCAGCAGCAGAAAAATCTTTTACACGCCAATATTTTTCATGTAGAATCTGGGATCAGATCTGATTTAATGCCTCTTCATATAAATCAGATAAACTGTTGCTGGGTTCATTTACATCTGTTGTAAATACCCTGCTAAATTGCAGTGACGCAAAAGTCTGCACTCCTGACAGCAATTTGCGGCACGCAGCGGTAAATTATAATCAGGTTTTGGAGTTTTAAAGATATGAGATATTACAGGCTGGGAAGTGTCTAATGAAAAGATGCTACTGTTTGCAATGTGTAGCATTCAGTGTTTTTGGACCATGACTCTTTTTCTACTTTGTTTCTTGTGAGTTCCCTAAAATAATGTGGATAAAATACTGTTGAAGTGTAGGTCATCCAGTCACCCATACTAAATTCTGATGAAATGTTGTGCACATGATCCCAGCGTATAAGACCATGCTCAAGAGAGGTAAACCAGAAAAGAAAGTGATGAAGACATGGACAGATTGTGAAAACCTTCAGGAGGGTTCACATAGATGAAATAACTGCAGTTACAAATTACTACATTTATTTTCTGTGTAGCCTGCAGTTAGTTTATCCCCACAAAGGAGATTAAAATCTATCCAAATAATTAACCATAGGTGAATGGGGACATAAAAAAAGCTATAAATACTAGGAAAATGGCGTTCAAAACAACGATTCTGGAGCAGAAGAAGAGTTGAAAATGAAATTGAGGGAAGCAAAACTGGCACACGGCCGACAACCCCAAAGCGGTGTGGTGTACTATGAAAAGTGAAACTGGAATGTCTTCACTAACTCAATAGACAACTCTTTTAAGTTCACCAAAATACTTAAAAATATTAAAGCTGCTGCCTCTGACAGAATTGTCATCACTTCTGAAGATGTCAGGAGAACTTTCCAAAGAAAGCTGCTGGGTCGCATGAGTGCAGCGACTTCCTATTAAAGGACTGTGCAAAGTTGGCGCAGGTGTGAAAACCAATCTGTCAGGTGTCTGTAGACAGACACACTGTCCTTCTGTTGTGGAAAACTTAGCATATAAAACCATTACCCAAAATCCCATGTTCAAAAGAACATAGGGATTTTAGACCAATAGCCCTTACCTCAGTGATTTTGAAATCTCTAGAAAGAATTACGATCTGATATCTTGTTAGTGCAACAAAAGACAAACTCTGGTGTCTTTGGTGTCTGAAATGGTCCAGATGGAACTGAATCTCTATTTGACCCATCGATATGCTTCTTTTCTCACCAAGAGTCCAAATTATAAAGGTTCACAAAACCCTTTCATCTGTCCTTATGACCAATGTAGGGCTGCCCCAGGGCTGCATAAGCTCAGCTACGCGTTTTACTTTCTATACCAACAATTTCTGTATAGATATACTGAATCAATCTATTCTAAAGTCTAAAGTATTTTGATGACAGGCTACAGTCTACAGATGCACCAACATGGCATGAACAAGGTGGCTGAAAACAGAGGAGATTGTATTTAGTTCACCATCTGACTCTCGTAAAGATCCTATTAATATCCAAAGTGGTAGAACGGTTGTATCATATAAATATTTCTGTGTACTGATAGATCATCAAATGACACTGGATTTGCCTGCAAGAGAAGAAAGCAAATAGGAATCACTCAAATCAAAAGAGAATCACTACCAGTGATCATCACAAACTTTCTCACAAGCTAATTGTTTTCTACATGAATGAAAAGTTACAGCAATGTGCTCTTAGTTCTATGTGACTTTTAAAGTGTCTGAACTCAAGGGAAATTCACAGTTTGAACTGGATGAAAACATTAAATCTCAGCCGCCCTCTCTTACCATCAGGAAAGTGAGCAAAGCGTCCACTTCCTCCAATTCTCTCTCTCTATGATTATTGGGCTGCACTGCACATCCTGTGGTCCTAATGTTTTTGTGTGTGTGTGTGTGTGTGTGTGTGTGTGTGTGTGTGTGTGTGTGTGTGTGTGTGTGTGTGTGTGTGTGTGTGTGTGTGTGTGTGTGTGTGTGTGTGTGTGCGTGGGCAGCCCTCTCCGTAAGACAGTCAGACATTAACGCAGCAACAGCATGCTGAACCAGAGGAGCTTCAGAAAGGCCAGCGCCCATTGCACCTCAGGGTGAGCCCACTGATCTGTTTCTCCATTCAGCAGCGCAAATAGAGGAGAGGGAACTATAACGGAGCTATTCATACAGCCTTTGGGTGTGGTAACAAAAAGGTTACATATTCAACCATTTTGGTCTCTTAATTTTATTACTAATATAATATTACTAACACATGAACTACAGGAAAAGAATAGTATGGGACACAGAAGGTGTTTTTTATGTATATATATTGTGTTACAATATCCACTCCCAGATTTAAGAGATGAACTCTTCGATGCTTTGCCAGAATAACTACAAATATCAAGAATTATTTTGTGAAATGTTTTTACTAAGGTGCTCTGTAATATTTCCTCTGTTTTTCAGGTGAAAAAATAATATCAGTTGGATATCAGTAGAATAAATACAACATCAATAGCACTGAACAATCTTAAAAAACTTATTTCTTGGTAAAAAAATAAATAAAATAAAATAAATCAGACATATCTGTCTGTTAAAGCAAGACTATGTAATTTGATAGCTGAGCAGCAGCAACAGCGGCCTCTGCAGCCACAAGTGGCAATTACAGGACGCTGACCCATTAAATTCTGTTGCACTCTGAGTCAGAGCAGTTAATGTTACTGGAAGCAGTGTGTCTTCCTGTAAGCTTACAGCTCATGTACAGAAAACAAAGCCTATCAATCGCTCAGGCAGCAAACACAAAAATCATCATCTTAGTACAAACATTCAACAATACAATACAATAGGAATCACACTGTCCAACCATGTCAAGTCAGCGTTCGTCTCTAATTGACCGAAAGCAACTCAACCTGTCATGCTTGAGGAGTTTGTTGCGCAAAATCTACGACTTGCAGACGTATCAGAACGTTAGTTAGCATCTTTTATTTGTTTGTGTTGTTTGTTAGCTAGTAAGCTTGTAACTGACAGTGGCTGACAGTGTAAATTGTTGTGCTAATGCAAACTCTCGCTTCCTGTACTGATGGGATTGGTTCCTTAGGTTTGTGATGTATGCACGTCCAAATCTGTTTGTTTTTTTCATTGGTACATTGCAGGTACTCAGCTATGGCGTTGACTGCTTATTTTGCTGATGATGTGTCAAACCAAAAACCAACATATGAACATGTTAACAAGGTTAAAAACTTGGAGTGGGTCTTTAAGACATGAGGTGTATTAGCAAGCTTATTGGTCAACACTTGTTAGTGAGGCTTACTTAGCAATATATAAATATATATATCTTCTTTTTTTCTAATTACTTTATTTATATAGCCCAATATCACAAATTAAAAATTTGTCTCAGGGAGCTTTATAAGCTGTACAACATACAACACCCTCTGTCCTTGATCAGTTAAGACAAACTCCTCCAAAAAAAAAACAGCCTTTAATCAGGAGGAAATTGGAGAAGCCTCAACCTCAATCATTACAATGCTTTATCATGTGGTTTGTAGTAATTTTGGCCATCCTATTTGTTGTCCTTTTTCCTCCCTCCTTCTTTCATCTCCTCCTGCTCACTTTCCCTTTTTCCATCCCTAACCAAACACTGTCTCTCTCCTCCAAATCCCACAGACAACCACCATCACACACTGATTATTACTGTGAGCAGTGAGAGGCAGTGTGGATATTATGGCCGTCAGTCAGTCTGCACTATGGGAGGCATGCTGAGGGCTGCCGGAGCTGCTCCGTCCCTGATAGACAGAATATCACATGTTGGCTCGGCCTAGAGGACACTTCTTAACGTGCCATGGGATTAAAATAGGAAAATGAACACCTGCAGCCAGGAAACTTTTTGACTTCAGCAGCATTTGAAGGTAAGTTTAGACGGCTAGACTGGATGACAAAAGGCAGAAAACCTTTGGTGGAGAAAAGTCCCCAAATGCCATTTTGGCGTTTGATTATGCTGCCCACAAGTTCGGGGTGAACTGAATATCATAGAAGTGCAACCTTGTTGTAAGATTAGTTTACCCATTATGTAAAAGCTCTTCTTTCTCAGTTGTGTAATGGCTGTCTGTCAGTCACTGACATGAAAACAAAATCAATACAATCTGTCTTATGTGAGCTGTAATTTCTGAAATCTGATAGCTTTGCCTTCATTACGGTGGTTTAAAAGCTTATTGCCATGATATTTGTGTGCAACCTAACTCACAGTCATGCCTTTGTTTAGAACAAAACATGTAAATGCTTTCACTAACAGCTTGAATCTCTGCTGTGTAATACTGTATTTGTCACATCATTGTAGCTTCATCTGAATCTCGCCTGTGTAGTAAAGTTGGCTGCTTTAGTACAGAAGATCTGATTCTGATCTAATTGATATTTTTACCACAACAATAAAACAGCCAAGTATACCAACATTAAAGGAGCTATTTGTAAGTTTTGCTATTGCTACCTAGCCAGCGTTAGCATTAACAGCTGTTTACTTACCAGTCTAGGAGAAACGTTGTGAGTTCAACATCAAACTTCATTCCTTTACTTGTCAAGAGCTTTTTCCAGCTGTGGAAAACAACACCAATGTCAGTTCTTGTCTCTATCACTTCTGTGATAGCTAACCAGCTAGCCATGGACGGTCCTGTCACTTTCCGATAGAGTGTCACTGTAGCCGCCAAACTGCCCTGAAGACATAGCGTTGTTCAGAGGATGTATTACAACCTCTTTTCGTGTAAACGCAGCAATGACTGAAGCTCTGGTCAAGTGACAATCACCACCACCTGCTAAGGGGCAAGAAACTGCAACAGTGAAAAAACTTACAAATAGGCCCTTTAACAGATTTTTTCTTTCATTGCATTGTACAGTGTGAATGTTCTAACAATAGCAGGTCATGTTCTCCAACATCAATCAGGGACAAACCTCAGACTTTTCTCTCTGACCAGAACTTTTCTAAACTGTTCCACAGCTAGTACATGTGGTTAAATGAGGTATTAGCATCCTTACATTTATCACAGTTGGCCTGATATTAAGTCATTTAACATAAATCTTATTGAATATTGGACAAGTTATTTCCATGACATGCGTGAGGAATAATCAAAAACTGAAGCAAATTAATGAGAAAATATTTCCCTCTCTTACTTATTAGATATACAAAAAAAATACCTGTTAAAGTCTTAAAATACTTTGATTAGATTTGAATTCAGTTGACCCTCCACCGAGCTACTGTAAACTGTTGTTCAGCTGATAATTTAATTTACATGTACTAAAATGACTCCCCAGCAGTCGTGGATTATTCCATTAACGGTACCTCGCTGTGAGGTGCCACCAAGTCTGGTCTGAACCATTAACACCAGCTGTCTCAACTCCTCTGCCATTAGCACTCAGTCTAACACCACAACAAAATATGTCTCAGACAAGCCAACTTTAATGCTATTTGCAGTACATCACACTGTCTCCATCCATCTCTCTCTTTTTGTCATCAGGAAACACTGATACTCTACCAATGAGCCAGTGTTGTGTGTTAATCAGATCTCACTTTGGCTTTCCAGCTGCAGTACAGATGTCTTTCAGGGGAAGTAAAACACCCACTGGCAGCCATATTGAGCAGCACTGGCACTTGGGGGTTCCAAGTTGGAAAACAATCACACTTTCTTGTTCATTGTTTTTATCATTATTATTATAATTATTATGAATCAATTAATTCATGTTTTTTTCCCAGTATTTTTATCTTATAAATGTTCCCTGCTAGAATCAAAAGAAAGATGTTGTGGGTCCATGGTCTGTGTCTTGGACAAACATAAAACAACAGCAACACTAGTTGACTAACCAGAGTCTTCTGTTTCGCAATGGTGAAATAAAGTTTCTTCAAGTTAGTCTAGCAAACTAGACCTGTGGGGCCCATTGACACCCAGGTCCTGCCACTCTCTGGTCTTTGTACATATGTCATGTTGCTTTTTCCAGTACCCTCCAGATTAAGAGTACACTGTAGACTACATATGTAGCTTCATTGTACAGTACTTTGGAATTTTTCTGCATGTTAGTTTGTGGTAATCTAATTAAACAGGTTTTTCAAACTAGATTTAAATACATAAGACACCTCAACAAGACGGTGCATCAAGATCAGGTAAAAATGCAGTTACTAATGTGCTATAGTTGTGCATATTAAATTAACACATTTGCAAAACTTACCACAAAACTCATTTGAGAAGAGCCAAAGAACCTAATTTGTATGTAATCCATTTCTCTGTCTCTAGAAATTGAGCAGAGTTCCTGACTAATCCAATTGGGTGGCATAAAATGTATAATTTAGTCAAGCAAAAGCGCCTCTCCTGTTGCCTATAGCAACCTTGACAACACAGCTTTTTCTTTACAAAAACTTGAGGTTTTAAGGCCCTTGGTTTTTCAACAGTTGCACCGTTAGCTGTTCAACTGAGCTGAAACCCAATACTTATATTTAAAAGTGTAATCCTCTGGCTCTCTTTGGGTGTTGTTTGCTGCCACATTATTTTCATTATCGGACGTTATGAATTTTGGGATAGGAGGGGCCACAAACGATCCACCTGTTGGAGCCTTTGTAGCTAAGGAAAAGAAGGCTGCATTTGAAGGAGCCTTTGAAATGGGACAGCCAGTCAAGCCGCTGTGACACAGTCACTCTTCAAATGCATTCTCTGAAGGATGCAGCCCCTGAAATGGAACAAAGCTAATGAATCACTCCATGCAGTGCAAAATGGAAGAACAAAAAACATAACAGCTACAGTCATTTATACGGCTGGTGAACTGGCTAGTGTGAAAAGCAATCATGCCAAGCTAAAAACAGAATAAAATAAAGTTTAACTTTGTCTTTATTGTGAACACTGTAACAGCAGTAGAGGCTACGCAAGTTGAAATACTGCAAGTGTAGAGGGGGGAAAGTGACAGCAGCTATCCAGTTTGTTTTACCCCACATGTACATCTCCATTATTGATTTTACAAGAAGTTCATTTTACTGTGGCTTTATTTTATGAGCCGCGATTCTTTGATTCTAAACCAGGCCTAACAGCTGTGAGAGACTCTCGCTGCCTGTTCTGTGGTCAGTCAGGTGGCCAAAGACAACTGCAGGCTACACACCCTGAACACATGCCCTCCGGATAACCTTCCAGAAACAGAACTATGACATCATTTCTGAGATGCACCGTGTGTCGGGGGGGGCCGGGGGGGACACACACGCATGCCTGTGTGTCTGTGAGTCCTCCAACCCTGCCATAGAGAATGGCAGCACCCGTGCCGTCACCATGCCACCTGACGGTCGCGCCTTCCAGGAAAGCCGTGAGGTTTATGTGTCAAAGAGAGACAAGTGGCTCATGAACCATTTGAGATGAATCCAGCATGTCAGCGTGTGTGTGTGTGTGTTGTGGTGTAGTATGTGGCTGTTGATGTCTAAGGATGCAGGGAGGACAGTTTGCAGTATGTATAGAATGTGCAAGCATGTGAACATAGCGTAGTATGTATGAGCACATCAGAAAATATTTAATTTTTAACAGTTGTAAGAAAGGTGGATAAATAACGCAACAGCACATAATGCTGCCACCTGATAGGCCTGCTATGGAACACTTGTACACATTCTTATTGTATAATAGTTGCTACATCTGAAGACTTGCTAAACATACATTTACTTTGAATTATTGCTTTTCTTCTTTCTTTTTTACTGTTTTGCATGACTTGCATCACTCTACATACTTCTCTTTTACCCAGTATTATTTGAGGTTCAAAGTGGGTCTCAGGCTGTTGCAACCACAGGATTGTAACATTAGACATGAGGCTGCAATACAATCTGGATTCTGTCCCAACCACAGAAAAAAGTAGCAGAAGGCTAAGATGACACTGACTGACTGAAACCATTGTATTGTTATTGTTATAATTGCCAATTTTTATTTGTCAGCTTGCAGTTGAGCAGATCACTGGTATTGACTGAGTGTATTACACTTGGATGGCTGCGTAGGGCAAATGACCTTCTACAGTGTTGTATTTTACTAGCCACAGACAAATCTTAATCATATTATATTTGCTTTAACCATGAGTTTTCCATAACCTTAATGGCAGTAGGGTTGGGTGTCCAATCTTAATATCAGATCTGCCTCTTTAGCTGCTGGATGTTCTCTTTCTATCTCCTTCAGATAATTGACAAACTTGTTCATCTGCCATTTGGTGCTGAGCAAGTAATACACTGTATAGTTGGTTTATTGTGGGCAATTCAAAGTATCACTTTCTCCAAATCTGTGTCTTTGGACTTCATGCAAACGCTGCACAAAGAAGGTGACAGTGAGGTGACAGTGCTAACCGCCACGTGACAGCCCCAGATTGTTTAAATAGCATCAATTTTAATTTAGCAGCTACTGTTTACCTCGGTTTAGTCAGTAGTGTGTGAGGAGGAAAAGACAGAGGCTTTTCACACCGAATGGAGATGTTGGTGTTATAGGAGCATTTATATTGTCATGGTTATCCCAGACCACACCCACACAACCCATCCACTGCCCACATCCACACTGACAGATGCTGATGAGGCTGACGTAAACTCAGTTACACTGCTGTTATAGAGACCTGACACCTCAGACAGAGCAGCAGCCAAAAGCACAGCCATCAGGCTTCTTTCACCCTCAGCCACAAAGACTTGTGGATTATAATTGGAGAACAGCTCCAGATGATGGATCATTATTGACCGCTTTGTGTTTTTCCTCAGTTTTCACTGGTCTGCTTTCTGCTAAGTAGAATCCAGAGGATTTTAATCCTGAGTAATTTCCATTATTCCCTGGCAACATTTTGAAACTAGTGTTGCAGTTGTTTTTATTTCTTTTTTCTTTTCCTCTGAAGTGTTTACATAGCTTCCTCAAAATTGGATGGTGGGTGAAACTTTGGAATAAAAAATTCTCTCGAGCAGCAGTGAGAACTTCTAAGTAACTTAAATGGAAGTACTAGTTTGGGTAAAGGTTAACATGAGCCCATGGATGGAAGTGGAAGTTTTATACAAGTTGCCATGTTAGGGGACAACTGCTCCGACAGTCCGACCATTGACTTTTGTCCAACAACTCAGTCAGAAATCAGGTGAGCTCCATTTCATCATCACTACTTATGTCAGACTTATAAAGTGTATGCTACGCATTTGTAAAATAGGATGTGGTTGCCGGGATACACTTAATTTTGTATCATTGCCAATTCACATATGACTGGGTTGAGCTGTGACTGATGATTCTTTTGACTGTACTCACTGTCTTCTTCACTGCAGTATTAAATTGACCAAATGTCCATTATAACATTCATTTATTGTTGGTCCTCTGTACAGTACACTACATTAAACAAGACATGACTGTATCAAGCTTGTATCTTGCTTTTGCATCAATACCAAATAAAATAATACTGTTATATATCTATTTAATATCAGTGATATACTTAACATGAATCAGTAATATTTATATCTAATCAAGACATTCAAGAGTGTCCAGATTCATAGTTAGTTATGGTAATAAGTCACATCTGACAATGCTTTTGTATATAAATTGAGAAAACCTTTAATAAAATTGGCCATTAAATGAATTAAAATAAAAAATGTTCATCATCAAAGAAAAAGTAGCATAACGTGTGAAGCAAAATCATGTTTTTATGCCATCTTGTTTTTAACCCCCCCCCTTTTGCCAACCAGGGGTTTAGGAGCAAGTTTGGATTCCTGCCTTGAATCTTAATTATTCACTTTCAGTCCCTACACTAATCATCTCATCCCCAGTGTACATTTAAGTGAACCTACACTGTCACTAAGCTGCAGCTAAGACCTCTGCGAGGCCTTTCTGAAAACAACCAAGCAGACAGCATACATATACAGGGATAAGCAAATATTGACTCGGGCACCCATCAGGTGGTCCATTATTCATGGCCTTTTACTTTTATAGACTGAGCATGTCTGTGTGTGAAAGTGTGTGTACTGAAGCATGCCTTACTCAATATTTATTCCTGACATGTTGACTGCTCCTGCTTTAGTAGCCAGGTGACAACAGCTTCCTGATGTTTTGGTCTGCTGTTTGTCCTTGTTCATGTTGAACCCCATATCCACTTATTTCCAGACTCTGTGAAAAACATGGATGGTCTTGTCTGAAATGTGAAAACTTACTGAGCTGCTAAGTTATTGAAAGTTTTAGTCAGCTTCTAATAATTGATATATATTGATTAATATTGATTAGGGTGTTGAAGGTCTTTCAGATGTTATTGGTTTATTGAGTGTGAATTTAGTATGTTGGAGAGGAGAGGTAAACAGTGGTGGTATATGTTTCCCCTTAACTAAAAGAAATAATAGTAGTGATAAATACTAATAATAATACGTAAAATGAATGCTGTCATATTAAAAGATTGGTCCACAAAATGTAGGACTTTAATTTAAGAGACCACTGTTCATTTCTCTTGTGAAACTTTTTTTTTCATCCATAGTTGTTCCACACCCTTAATGGCATGGTTATTATTGTAACCACGACGACAAAGGTCCTCTAACCTTAAGGAAGTGTTTATTTTAACCCCAAGCACAGTCTTTTCCTAAACCTAACCAAGTCGTCTTTGTGCCTAAACCTAAGCACATCGAGGATTTGAGATATTGTGTTTGGCATTTGAATAACTACAACCAAACTAGCCAACTAACCCATCATACTGTTGCAACCACACAATTTGCAAAGAATTTTTAAATGCATTTCTTTTAATACAGAATTTGAACTACAGGCAAAGGTGATTTCCTCCAGCCAGTTACATCTACAATATAGTTCAGCTGCAGTGCATTAGCAGTAAGTGAATTTGACACATGTCAACCAGCACACCTTAAATGACTGCGTTCTACCCAACGGTGCACTATCCAATTAGCAGTTACTGTACCACTATTGTAATATAATATATAATGTAATAATAATAATAATATATCACAGCGCTTAGAGTTTTACACATTCTACTGAATCACCTTAGTAAAAGGTTTCCGTCGTTATTTTCTTTTTGCATAGACACTGATGCTGCAGCTACATCCACCTGCATCTATTGTCCTTTGAGTCTGTCTTTCTAACATCTGTAAGGTCATAGCATTGTCATAGTATTGTTTGGAAGTTGCAAGGAGAAGTAACAAGACAGCGTGTCTAATTTCCGCTGTCCAGGCTTAAAGACATGGATGTAAAAACATTTTTAACAAAACACAGTGCTGGAGTTGACATTATACTGTGTGATGTTAGTTCATCTTACATCCAGTGTTAGATCCAGTGACGTTGTTGTTTGACCTTCACAATGGCAGCTTTTATCAGAGATCATTTTCCATTTGTGCAGGAGCTCTTAAACTGTGAAGGCATGACAGTTATGTGTTTCCACATACCACTTCATGGGTGTGTAGCACTGCAGTTTTTCCGCTAGTTTACAAAGATAACTCTCTTTAGACAAATATAACCCTCAAAGATACACATGAAGACCTGTGTGGGCATGCAGTCAGTCAACACACTCACACATCACACATAAATCAAACCAACACATGTCAGGAAATGTCAGCCCTGCACTTATTTTAGGTTACATGTTTTTCCACACAAACAGGAAGACATGCAGGCAGATTGATATGCTGTCACATTACAGATATTTGATAGTTACTCTGGACTGGTTTAATTAAACCTCAATAGGCATAAAACACAATGACCTAAAAACAGTCAACCAAGGAAGCCAAGCCAAGGAATTACATTCATGTTGGACAAATCTGCACCTCACGATTTATGTTCACTGCCAACACAACAAGCAGTGTGACCTTCATAGCGAGCGAGGAAGACAGTGGGGATGTGGAGGTCAGGGTGGTGGATGGGTGTATACTACTAGCATGTCAGACTTTGATGTAAGAGACTGGAGTTTGTGTCCTGCCTGCAATTGAAGTTTGCTTAACCTTAACTACAATCTCTTACTGTTTTAGGTGCCATAACCATACTTTAATCTTAATTTATTTTTTCATAACCACAACTTTTTTCTAACCTTAATTACACTATAGTTGCCGTTTAAAGGTGTTGGAGAAATTGAGAATTTAAAAAAATGTCAACAATGAAAGTCATTCATGGTTTTACAAATAATCAGAGTGAGCAGGGGATGCAGCCGTTATTGCAGTGGTCTGTTTTCCTCACTACCCTACCCCACTACAGTTACAGCTCACGTGTAGAAGACTCGTGAAATTTAAAGGAGACCCTTTGACATTAGTGTTTATCGGTGGCCAAAAACAGTCTCAAAAAACAGTGAGTAAACTACACCAGCAGTTTACAACACATGTACAAAGGACTGAGCTGACGACACTCAAGAGTGAGTGCTGGACTCTTATTGATGACTGATGAAAGAAACCTGTTAAGCCTGGGTCGTAAATAATTACGAGGCATGCTGGATCAGGCCAGTGTTGACACACGAACGTACATCTTGACAACCAGCTGGGGTTGTTTTCACCTCTTTGATGTTACCTGCAGTCTGTTCACTCCTGTGCAACTGATATATTCAGCATTACTGTGTTAGAAAATGCACTTTAGACCAGTTTAGTCACTGATATTTTTTAGATATATTGTTGACAGGAAACGTGCTTTTCAACTCATTTTGTCATGAGAAAATCGGTGTAGAATTATATTGAAATTGTAATCTGTGCCCTCAATTCTTGTTCAGAGCATAGAGTTTAAATGTGAACTACACATGTACAGCAGAGTTATTATAGCCTGCATCACCTCTGGACTGTTTCTCATGGACCATCAGGACAACCGAGGTCAGGTCCTGCATAAGGTCTGTAGGTTTTTGTCTCACAGTATCTGTATGTTTCATAGGTGGGTCAACACCTCCGGCAGCTACAGTGGACTACAGTTCCCACATGCCTCAGATAAGATGTTTCTATGGGCAGGAAGTAAAGCAACGGATGGAAGAAGTGACCGCAGGTAATGAATCCTATCTCACGTGTGTTTGCTTTAATGTCAATGCAGAAATATGTTTGAACTAGTAAAATCTAAATTTTCTTCTTAGGAGGCATGCTGGAAATTGCACAATTTAAATGTGTGAACATGTTAAAATGTCTTTAAATGTTGAATGAGGAGTTGCAATTTAAGTTGAATCACTTAAAGGAGTTGAAGTGTAAGCACCAACAAGAGCTGAAATGTTTTTTGAAGTGTACTTGAAATGTAATTTTAATTTCAAGGGTAGGCCCTGTAAGTAGGTGAAATGCCAGTTTGAATGCATGATTGAAAGTCATAGATCTATTATTTGAAAAGTAAAGCACTGAAAGCAGTTAAAGTGTAGCCAAGTAGCTGAAGCGTCATTTTAAGATAAAGCGACGAAGCAGTTAAACTGTAAATGATTAAATAATTATAATTTATGTTGAAGTTTAAGTGTTAGAGAGACTTTAAGTGTGTGCACTGTAAATAATTGAAGTGTCAGTTGGTATGTAACCGGTGACAGCAGCTGAAATGTCAGTTGGAGTGTTTGAGCTGTAAGGTGAAGGGTAGAAATGAGCTGAAAGGTCAGTCGATGGGCAGAAGCTGAAAGCAGTTAAACTGTCAGCTGAAGGGTAAGAGAGGACCCACAGTTAAATTAACAGTTGAGGTGTGGTGATGAAAGGAGATGGAGATGAGCTGAAGTGCCAGAGATACAGTATTCAAAGTATAAATAGTGAAAGTGTCAGTGAATTCAAGTCAGTGCATCACGTCATGCATAAAATATAAATTATATAGTGTATTAATTAAAAATAACAGGGTTTGGGGCGTCGTGTGGCGTAGTGGTCTAAGCAGGCGCCCCATGTGTAGAGGCCACAGTCCTCGCTGCAGTTGGCCCCGGCTCGAGTCCCGCATCGGACGGCCTTTGCTGCATGTCATTCCCCCTCTCTCTGCCTCCCCATTTCCTGTCTCTCTCTACTGCACTATCAAATAAAGGCATAAAAAGCCCAAAAAATATACTTTAAAAAATAAATAAATAAAAAAAAATAAAAATAACAGGGTTTACAGATGTGACTTAAAAAGAAGACAAAGGGTTTACCCACCTGAACTCATGTTGATTATTCTGAAGCCCAGGGATACATTCACATGTAGTCTTCAGCCTCATAGGAACTTGAGTATCTGATAAGGAAGTTAAAGATTCTGTAAGGTGTCTAGGAAGCAGACAGGTACTGAAGACGCGTTAAAAGATTATAAAGTCACTGGTAGACTGCAGAAATCATGCATATGCATTATGTCAAATGGTTGACATGTTTTAACCCAAAACCTTATGTACGTAATTTAATAAAAATAGACTGAGCTGCTACTCTCCGCTCACTGTTCCACGAGCCCTATAGAGTACTCAACTGCTGCAAAATTAGCTAATCCAATGTTAAACACAAGAGGCAGGTGTTACAGTGGTAGACGTAGTTCAAGGACACTACAAAGTTTGTCACCTTACCCCAAATCCTGACAAGGACAGGTGTCAGATTGAGAGGAAACTGTCAAGGTGCAGCTTTGATGCTAACCTTTTCCAGATCCATCTACCAGAAGATTCGTGAGTATGAAGTGCTGGACAAGAGGAAGACAGTGACGGCTCTGAGAGCAGGAGAGGACAGAGCCATATTGCTGGGCCTCAGCATGGTCTTCTTCTCTGTCATGATGTACTTTGTCCTGGGAATCACCATACTGCGCTCCTACTCTGACAGGTGAAAACACTTTCAGTTTACAAAATAACAAATGCATGCTCGGTTTTAGCTACAATGCCAAGATATGATCCCCACATCAAGTGGAAATCACCACTGCCATCTTTTTCCACAGTGTGTGGACAGATGAGGCTAGCTGCACTATTGTGAACTCGACCATCATGTGGGATGTAAACTGTTCATATAGCTGTGGAGCAGAGTGCTGGAGGAGTTCCCGTTACCCCTGTCTCCAGGTGTATGTGAGCCTCAACTCGTCAGGGAAAGTGGTGCGACTGCTGCACAATGAGGAGACGCAAGACAGCAACCCTGAGGTACTCGGCAACTGATAATGCTGCTGTCGTCTAAAACGTTTACCAGTTTCAATTATGTGTTGTTGTTTTTTTTTTTTACTCGAGTTTTACAAATTCGTGATTACCTGTTGTGTGAGTTCTCCTTGTAAATATATCAGTATTACAGATTGTTTTTCATGCTCTTTAAATAGGCTTATTGTGTTCTTGGAGTCAAGCAAAGTTAATGCCCCTGCCCATCCCACACAGGTGTTTTCACTTTGCCTAATTAGATTCTTTCTCAGGACTGTGTGTGTATATATGAAGAGAATCTGCCTGACAGATCTCATCCATTGCTGACATTATGTCTTGCTATAGCAAGAAAAGCATCAGTGTTATTAATAGTATTAAGAATGGCTCTATTCTATTTAATTGTCCCAGTAAGCCATGGCATAAACTCTCAGGTTAGGTACTTTGCAGCACCAACTTACTTCTTTATTAATCATTTTCAGTAAAGAGTTTGATAGTTTGATGACATCCACCTGCAACCTGAACAGATCTAATTAATCAGAATAAGTGGAAACAAACAAATACAGGTTTTTTATATAAAAAAAATAATTAAAAAAACACTATTCCAAATCAATATTCTTTTATTCTTTCATTATTCTTGTAATTTATGGAGATGACAGCAGGACTATGCAGGACTTACTACTATTAGGATAATGGAAAATTATTTCATAGTGGTAATGATATTTCTCTTTTACTTTATTTACTGTTGGATTAAACTGTTTGAAAATCCATAGGCCTATTTATCTGTTTGTATCATAGTAATTTAGTGACTAAGCAGAGTCATTTGTTTCTCGTCTTAATTTATTCTAAACTTTTAATCTGCAAATAAAATTTTGTTATTCTATATATGTTTATATATTGGAAAATGACCAGACAACAGGAATATATATATAGTATTTTGAACTCTGTGCTCAATGAGTGAAAGGCCAAAACACTTCTGGATCCTGAATACATGTAGATTACCACAAAACCAGACAGCTCTGTAATAACAGAGCGATCTCTTAGAGAAAAAACTAAACAACTTTAAGTTTCACTCAATTTTCTCTTTTTTCCCTCTGCCTCAGTGCTTCTACATCCCAAAGTGCCGTAAGGACTATGCAGCCACACACGCCATAATTCAGAACATTTCTGAGCGTCTGCGGTCTCAGCACACAGTTCAGTGTTTCATGGACCCTACCGACAGGACGGACAGTGCCATTTTGACTCAGATCTACGGTCGGGTCGCAGTCTTCCACTCCCTGTTCTGGCCGACCTGCACCTTGATCGGAGGAACCCTCATCATCGCCATGGTGAAGCTGACCCAGTACCTGTCCATCATGTGTGAGCGACTGAGCCGTATCAAGAGGTGAAGGGCAGAAAGGCTGCAAGTTCAGATGGGTGTTCCATGTGTTACATGGACATGGGGACAACTGAAGCAGCTTCATGAGGCCAGATGTGCTCTGTCTGTGACAGCAGGAATTCTGGGATTCAAGGAAAGTAATGGTGACAATCTAACAGCAGCTAGAATGAAGACTAAATATTTTTCAGACATTGCTGAAGATAAAGTGATGCTGGTTTGCAGTTTGACACTAGTGGGACCAGCTAGTGGTTGAAGCTCAGTAACAATCTTTGAAATGATAAGTCACATTGCGGTTGTTGGCCAGTCTTTAATTTTGTTAGATGTATACTAATGTGACAGTGTGTTTTTGGAGCTATTCTGTATCTGCTTGCTTCAGCCTTTCGGGAAGCACGCATACTTGCTTTCTTTTACATTGTGTCCAGTGTCCATTAAATATGAAGCTATAGCCAGTTAGCTTAGCTTAGCACAGCACCTATGAAGTTCATTAGTTAACACATTATATGTTGTTTGTTTAGTCAAGGCAAACTGTTTCCACCTGAATTCGCTTCTTCTAACATACAGATTTGAGAGTGGCATCAATCTTCTCAAGTAACTCAGTAAGAAAGCAAATATATATCCAATTAGCTTTTAGTTTTTCACACCTAACAAATAGAACAAATTACAATTATTTGATATTTCTTAAATTAGACTGTTTTTATTGTTGTCAATCCTTCTCGATAGACTTGACAGTCGTTTATTTGTTTTTATTCCTGTATACCATTCTTGTCAGACATGCCTGCTGGTTATTTGTTTTATTCGACTTATTCATTATCTAATTATTATTAGCAATGTGACTGTTGTTATCATATATTGTATATCACTCTAGCCTGTGAATGTGATTTCAGGGCATTGCTGTAAAAGAGCTTGATGCTAAGTCAATCCTCCCTGAATAACAATGGTTGATGAAATATGTATTTTCCAAAATGTCAAACTGTTCCTTTAAAGACCTTCTTAAATTGTAACTTGGTACCAAAATGTGCATTTTAGACCATCTGGGTCCACAACAAGCCAGGATTAAATGCTCTACTATATCTTTGTCATAGGGTTAGGGATGAAAAAGATTTGCAGTTTAGGACCTATGTTAAAAAAGCCACTTTATTACCCACTGTTCTAATGTTTGAAAGTCTGTATTCTGACACTGTGGACTGTGATTTAACTGAAATGAACACATTTATTTAATATCTGTGGAATTATTGTCTAAGTTGGGCCTATTTTGGCTGGAACAACCTCCCTCCTGAGATTACACTGTCTGACTCTACTGAGGCCTTTAAATCCAAACTTAAAACTCATCTTTATGCCTTAACTTTCAGTTAGTGGCTTATTCTTTGATTACGCAAGGCCTGGTTCATGAGATTATTCCAAACTCTGATAACCAATATATCCATCTAACCCTGACATCCTCCTCCCTGTCCTCTCTTTTTACTCAGCCTCACTGTTTCTGGAGCATCAGCCAGACAGGCTGGTTAAAACGAAAAGATGCAATTGGTTGCATCATGGGAAATGAAGGATTCAGTGATGTGATTCAGAGATTGACCAGTACTTGGGGCTAAAAATCAGGACATTTCAGTTGTTTGGTGTTGTTGGTTGTTACCATTCATTTTTAATCTCTCACAAACTCCCAATTTTATGGAGTACAAAAATCATTGGGGTTCTCTCCTCTCTCATCTTTGCCTTCTGAGTTTTACAGAGGATTTTTGCAATGAATTGGTGTCATAAAAGATGTTTTTTCATTTCAAGTTGATTTGATACAATGTCTTCAAATTTGTTTTGCAGAATAAAGTGGGACCACTGCTTCTGAGAGAACTGAAGAACTTGAATTGTTCTTTAGTTCAAAACAATCATAGTGGATAAGCAAACACATAGCTATATAAACAGCTGAAATTATAAGGATGGAAGGTTTTCCACTGAACATTATTCTGCTGAAGCTGTGGGGATAGTGGATGGGTTGGTGGCAGCCTGTCAGATACAATACTCTGCACATGATTACAACTGCTTTAAAACAGGAAATGGCCTGCCAAGAGGGAAACCAATACCAACCAAGTCTATTTCCTATGACTGAGTTTGATTAATTAGTCATTTTGGAGTTAAATGACATACAATATGTCAACAAAATATGTTTAGAGGAGTTGAACATCGTCAGATAATACTTCCATTACAATAAAGACAAGATTTCAAATAAAATTTGCTTGGAAACAGCGTTACCATTTATTGTGGCATGAATCATTTAAAGTGAATGAATATTTGATGGGATGTGTGAAAAAGCAATTTTACTTTTAATGTTCACGTCAGTTAAATCTGTCAAAGATGAGTGTTTACAAAATCAATGTCATTTCATTGTCAAAACTGATCAAATGTATGCCGAGACATTTATCAATATCCAATATGTCACACCTTCGTCTGTTCATTCTCAAATGTCAGGACACTTAAGTGAAGAGAAATATAATTCGAATGTCACCTGACAGACCTGAAATATATTGTTAACTTCGTTTGAGGCCTTTAGAAGTCCCAGTCAAATATTTTGACAATAGTATGTTTTGTGTTCTTTCAGTTCTACTCAAGCACACTACAACGCAAGGCTCTTCACTTGTAATGAGCTAAAACTGTAAAGTTTGTCCATGCTCAGGCTTGGGTGGCCCCAGAGGACGGAGCCATAGATAGGGGCTTAAGAAATGCTAATTGGATCATGTGAATGTTGCATGCATTGCTGCATTCTTCTGCTGTAAAAAAACAAAAAACAAAAAAAAACAAAGCCACAACTTCTCCACAGACACTCGATGAGGTAGAACCAACACTCATCTGCTTCTGCGTGTGTGTGTGTGTGTGCAGCTAGAGCCATGTCACTCAGGTCTCTGATCCTGCTCTTTGGCCTGGGTTTGGTATGTAAATATAATATGATCTATATTGCATTTTTGGTCCAAAATATAGCCATTGTTTTAATGTTCTGTTGACAGGCAGGATGTCAGTTCATTTAGTCTCGCAATTAAATAATTCCCTCATTTTATTCTATGAACTATTGTGCTTTTGAATTTATTTTACAGACTGCAGCCAAGCTAACAGGAGAAACAGGTGAGTTGGATAAGATTTTTAGTCAGTGTTGGATTAAGTCTTTAGTCAATAGCAGCACTTCATTCTACACACTTCTGTTTTTTTAGCACTGAACTGACTAGTGTCCCACCTGAGCTCTCCATGCACCATTCATTTACAGTAGATTGTACATTCAAGACAACAAGAACTCAAAATTTCACCTTTCCCATTTAAAAGTAAGAATGCTGATGGCTGAAGGGCTATCAAGTTGAATTTAAGCATCTAAGACTAAACATGTTTTTAAAATTAATATATGATAAAATGTTAAATATGTCTCATGTTCACACATCTACATCATGACAGTCTTATTGTAATCTCATCATTACCAATTCTTCATTTGCAGAGACTGATGTTGATGAAGGCCATGACTGGGACATCATCGACATCAATAAAGGTTTGAAAACTCTGTATTTGTGTTTTGTTCTGTTTTGTCTTTGATTCTGAGGAGTTTAATTAACAAACATGATTTTCCTTTGCAGCGGCCGGGCTGGACCTGCTGGAGGGAGACATCGAACAGGATGAAGTAAGTTAGTGTTGGTGTGTGCACACCAACACTACTGACTCTGATGCAAATCCTATTAAATAATCTGCATATTCAGGCCTGTGTGAACCTGGTATTTTGGGTCCATGATCAGATATTTTGAGCACAGAAAAAGATTTTATGCATCATTTTATATTTTGTAGAGCGTGCTTCCCTACTTCCTTAGTGGCAGATGATCCTATTGGAGACAAAACAGCCAATCAGAAATTACCTGCTCTAAAAAAAACTCTAAAAATCATTTATTGCATGCAAAAAAAATTTTTCTGTGTGAAGTGTTCAAAGTAGAGACACAAATATGACTACATATTAAACAGTATATGTAAGAACTTAAGTTGGGCAATATGAACAGTATTAATGTGATGATCGTCATATGGCTTTGCTATAAATGTGCAAAGATATCTGCTCGCCTATGTTAAAATACTTGGAATAATTCAAATGTACAGACACAATACATAGCCTATAATTTCAACATTAATACAACTTAACTTGTCTCAGGTCCCGTTTTGTAAAAAGCAAACAAACATATTTCTTATGTATTATTGTTTTGAGTGATACTGAGGTTTTATAAAAATACAAGCTCACAGATAGTGAGGATAGCCCTTATTGTGTGCATCGCAATCAAGAAAGGCCAGAAATTTGCAAACATATATTGCCTAAGTGAGTCTGCTGAACTTTGTGCTGTTTCTCCTTCATCAGTCTCTCATTGTATAACTTGTTATATGTTGTTTTCTTCATTATCGTCAGACCTTCGGCAGAAACTCAATCATAGGTGATAAGTACCGCTGGCCAACAACCATTCCTTACTACCTGGAGGACAGTCTGGGTAAGACACTGTTATGGAAACCCACATTCACAGTACGTACCATGGATGGATGCATCCAATTATCACACTTCTTCATGTTCGTTTGTCCTAAACTTTGCACCATGTAGAAATTAATGCAAAGGGAGTGATCCTGAAGGCGTTTGACCAGTACAGACTGAAGACCTGTATTGACTTCACACCATGGAAAGGAGAGAAGAACTACATCTCTGTGTACAAAGGCAGCGGGTGAGTCAAACTTTTAACTGCTGTGTGTTCAGTTTCAGTAATGTGCACATATACTGTGTTTCTCAGAGCTTAGTTCATGCTTGCTGGTTGTAAATGATGTCACAACATACATCCATGCATATAATGCTGCATTCAACAAATGTTTAAAGCTGCACTAGCTGATATTTTCATGTCCTAGTAACAGATTATTAGCCAGCTCATTGTTTTGATTTTTGCAGCCTACAACTTTGTTGTTTTTGTTCAGTCTCACCACTTTCATTAATCTTGTTTCCAGCAGCAACAGGCAGCTGCTTTCAGTGAAAAAAACTGACAAACCCACAGTACACTAACTGCCCAGCACCAAACAAAACCACTAGCAGGTGCTTACATTGGAGCTTTTAGCAGCTGCTTTCTCAGGAATTAGTGGAGACCAAAATAGAGCTAAAAGGATGTTGGTGTTGTCAGGTAGACATGAAGTCTTTAAGCTTGAAACTAATTTTGTTGTAACATTGACTTTTGTAGCATGACTTATATTGGTTAGCCAAACCTATAAAACAGCTGGAACTATAGAGAACTCAAAAAGACTTATCCACACCAACCAGCCCAACCAACCCCTGAGCTAACTTGTTTATACTTTACTATACTTATACATACTTTACTTTCGCTTTGACCATTTAAAGACAAACTTGCGTCCCGCTTCCCCTTTCTGCAGGTGCTTCTCCTCTGTAGGCAACAAGCGTGTGGGAAAGCAGCGACTGTCCATTGGTAGTAACTGTGATCGTCTCGCAACTGTTGAGCACGAGTTCCTGCATGCTCTTGGATTCTGGCATGAGCAGTCCAGAGCTGACCGTGACGATTATGTCAACATCATATGGGATCGCATTGAAACTGGTAACATTTATCCATAACACCTTGAATTACAGTACAGTGTATAGAAACTATGTTCTGCATTTTTCTCTTTATGTTAGCCTAATATTTGAATACATTTAACTCAGTAGGATGGGCATTTGCAAAACACCTGCTGCTACATCCGTATTTGTCAAAATCAAAAGCAAACAATTCCTCATATTTTTTTATGGCTTTATCAGGTAAAAAACACAACTTCGAAAAACACAATGACACAGTGTCCAGTGCTCTGGGCGTTCCCTATGACTACGGCTCTGTGATGCACTACAGTAAGACGTCCTTCAACATTGGCTCTGAGCCCACCATCGTCACAAAGATCCCCCATTTCATGGATGTGATTGGTCAAAGGATGGGGTTCAGTTCTAGTGACCTAACCAAACTCAGCCGTCTCTACAACTGCAGTAAGTCATGTTATCTTGTCATTTTGTACATCAAACCATAAATAAGACAGGCCACCTTCATTGAAGAAACCATATAGATGTTTGACATATTGTGATGTAAATGTCAAAGTCTTATCTACCACTCAAATCGCTTTACATTAAAAGCCACATTTGGAGGACACTTAGGCATGCGTACTGGGTGAGCTGAGAATTGAACCACTGACCTTCCGATTAGTGGACGATGCCATTACACCTACCATACAGTCAGTACATTGTAATCATATAGGAACACGGTAAAGTCAACTTCAAGAGTTTATTTGCACTGCGTTCAGTGATAGTTTGTTGCCGTTATATAATAGTACTGAACTGTTAGCTAACAGTTCCTGACTGCCAGCTAACAATTCTGTATTTTAGCCGACTAGAAAACATCCAGATAGTTTCTCTACTCCACACTTTATAAGTCATATTAAGTAAACTAAAGTGATTTTTCAAGCAGTAAAAACTGGCTAAATACTCTAACAATGTGTTAGGTGTCAAAGAAATACCTTGCTAAACTAGATAAACACTTTTGTGATGTGATGTTAGCTTCTTGGAGTAGCTAACACTGGATGATAAAAGCATG